CGCGGGGAGCCGGCACCGCTGGCAGGCATGGCCAGGGCCCCCCCACTGCCGGCTCTCCACAGCTCTCCACAGCACGCACGGAGGTGACGGGGACAGTTTTATTTATCTCGCGGCTTTACAGGACGTGGTTTCTCTTCAGCCCCGCCGGGGACACGGGCACCGCTTGCACTGACGGGGAACCGCCGCGGGCTGGCCGCGGAGGTGAGCTGGGCGCTCACCGTGCCAAGCCCTTTCACCACAACGGATGGATCACCTCTCCCACGGGCTGCAGGGAGAAATGCGTGTTTATTTGTTAAGGAACAAATGGGCCGTTCGGTAAGCTCAACCCCAGAAGCGACTCTGGATGCCATCGAGGTGCTGAAAATAGGAAACATTCATTTGCAGGGTATTTTGCAAATCTACAGTGGTAAAACAAGCACAAATACTACCTGCACAGAGCAGAGACAAGGAGGGGAGTCTCCCCTTCTCCTGAAGCGCACACATTTAACACTGGTACAGCTCTGTCGCCTGCACAGGCTTTTGGCAGTGGTTTCTGCTTAAGCATCTGAGGGTCATGCCTGGTGAGTTATTTGCCACGTGAACTAGGTTTGGAAGAGAAACTGGGATGTGAAAGTACCATGTCTGCTTTTACCTGTCCTCCTCCTCTGGGAATCACAGAGATTCCCTTTTGCTTCATTAGTACCCCTCGGGCTACCGCCCTACGGAACCTGCCAGCTACGGGAAATGGGTGCTCTTGGCATTCCTCTGCTGAGATGCAGCCTGCGACCACTAACAGCTCTCTTCAGAGGGCTTCTTGGTGCCTTGAAGGATCAGCGCTGAAGCAGACGCCCTCTTCTGATGCCGCCACTTGGCCCGACGGTTTTTAAACCAAACCTACAAAATGCAAAACGAGAAAAGAAGAACTTTTGCATTTCATGTGTTACTTGGAGGGGGGCAGGCAGTTACACTCCTGGGCTGTACAGCGTAAGCTTTAGGATACTGCAATATATTTCCCGATACAAAAGTTTGGTACAAAATTTAATCAGTCCCGCCCCTGCAATCCTGCTGAGATACATGTAAGGGGCACAAGGGAGCTGGGACCCCCCCCATGGCAAATTCAGAAGTCACGCAGATCACATAAATAAGGAATATACAGTCGGGTGCAGGGGATGAGCAGAACTGGGCATGTCTGTGTTTATATAGATTAATCTAGGAGAGACGGAGTGAGTGGATTTACGGGACTGGAACAAATCAGCCCAGCAGAACTGTTTTATATTCTTCCGTTGCTTGCCACACCTAAACTGTGTTTTGTCGAATACCCAATGATGGTTTTTAAAATGAGGCCCTGGGTCTGCAGCTCCCAAAAAAGACACTGCGATGCCCCGGACTGTGTTCTCAGGGGCAGCAAACAGTACTTCACCGAGTGGCAGGATCTCACCTCTACCCTCTCCTCCTTCAAGTGAATGCGGTTTGCCAGGTGCTCACGGGTGATGACATCCGGGTACTGGTTCTGATGGAAAAGCGTCTCCAGGGCCTGCAGCTGATCCTCGGTGAATATGGTGCGATGCCGGCGCGTCCGGCGCTGGATCTGGTGGAAAGTCTGCAGCTTGCTCAGGCTCCCCTGGGGACTCTTGCAGACCCTGACCGCCGAGTGGAAGAGCTGCATGGGCCAGGGGAACCGGGCGTCTGCAGGGGGAGAGGTACAGCAGCAGCATTAGGGGTGATGGGCCGAAGCACCCATCTTGCTCAAGGCAGTTCATACACAAGTTGCATCTGCACATGTGGCTTGGAAGGAGGCAGGCGGCCAGCTGGTGTGGGTGACGAGCTGCGCGATCACCATGCAAGTGAGAGAAGGGCCTAGAGCATCACTTTGGGAGAAGTGTGCAGGCAGGGAGCACTGGCTGGGTTTTCCTTGTTTACTTACCGATTGCACTATGGCCAGCTCCAGAAAATGGATGGAAACTCACAGCCCAGCTAGGACCTGTGTTTCAGTCCCGACACGGCAGATTTGTGAACTTTCAGGATGCTCTTGAACTGCATTTTTAAGGGTTTGCTCCTTTTTTTTTTTTTTTTTTTTCAAGACGCAGTAATTTTGTTAGATGTAGCCAA